ACCGACTTCGACGCAACACCAGTGCAGCTAATCTACGGCTGCACGCTGCGTTTGCCTGAGTAACTGGTGGCACCAGCCCCGTCTACCACTAATTCTGACTAAGAAATTTACACCGACCGACTGGATCAATAGATGCGTGAGCTATGTACGCCCACTGTTCGATCGCAGAAAACACCAGTGTACGTGCCCGAGAAGCTGTCTACGTGTTCACACGTCCTTTCCGCGCAGACGGTGTTATGCAACCGCTTCAGTCGCCGTGCATAGGACCATTCAGTGCTACACCGTACGAATAATACTTACACTATTGACCGCGGTGGCCGACGCCAAGTCGTCACCAACGATCGCTTCAAACCAGGCTTCATCCAAGAAGACACAGCCTATTGTCACTTCGAACGCTTCATGTGACGCTACGAATAATCGTGCGACGTTACAAACACGTAGCATTCCTGTAACGTGTACCAATTTAGGCTCACAGACGTCATCGTCTACTGCGAGTTTGTCGCCTCCCACGACCAACCGTCGTGGTCAGGAGGTTCGTAAGCCTGTTCGTTATTCCGATTATGTACAGTGTAGATACGTTTAGGTTTGTAAATACTGTGTACATTTGTCCCGTTTTTGGTCGATTAACGTTTTGTAAACACAGACCAAAAACTTCCGAAAAACCTCTAAAAAATCGAAACAGTTTTCATGCAAGTCATTCGTTCGTTTTTTTGACGTGTTCTGCGTGTTTTATGTTTTCTCGTATCTACATGCTCCCCTTCTATCCACTGGCCCATACGAGCAACGTTTTCGAGGATCCGGACTCAAACGCAGGTCGTTTCTTCGTGGGACCAGGATCCTTATGGCGTTGGGCGGGAGGCCACTCCCAAGCGCACCGTTTGGCAGCAGCGGAGGTTGAGATCCTGTCGGTCTATTTTCTGTTAGCCAGTTCTTTTAAGTCCGACAAGCCGCCTCCAACGGCTCGCCGAAATGGACTCTGTCCTGCAATCAATAAATGACAAATAACAAAGGGCACAGCGGATCCTAATTGTCGGCTACATCCATTTCCGAACCCGAACAGATATTCCCTTGTTTACGAATACCCTTTACGAACTTTCATTCAGAACCATTTTTGATTTCAAAGGCTTCTCTTGTTCAGACATCTATGAGGGCGAGATCCGTAGCAACCCAAAATATATTTCTGATTTGTTATATACATATTTATTGTTTCTCAATGGTGCGTTATTGGTTTTTGTTGGAATGCCTATCCGACGGTTCATTTTACCTACTCGTCTGCTCTGTAAGTCACCGTGCTGAGGTTTGCACCTGTCTCGCTTCATCCGTCCACGTCTTTTTGTAGCCCCCCAACTTCATTTGTCGTTTGATATCTGTGCTCGATTGCGCGCATCGTCTCGGACTAGTGTTTACTAGCCCTACAGGTTAAGTCTATTGATGAAGGCCTGCGGCCAACCGTCTGATGCTTTAAAGTCTGTTTTACAAAGTGCAAAGCTCGTCTTTGAATATCTGGTCCAGATAATAGGATTTTTCTTGCAACTGTTATTCATTTTTCGGTCTTGGTGCATTGTTTTCAAAGTTATTTAACGACTCGGCTTTCCCTGTTAAAGTTCGAAGGATTTGAGTCTTCCTTACTCCGAAATGTTCTGCTAATGTTCGCGAACTTTTTCCTTCTTGACTTTGTTGAATCAGTGATATTCTTTTTTCAAGGGTTAGTGTTTTTAGCTCTGAGATTCTGGAACTAGCTATTTTGTCCTGTCAAACTCTTCAACCAAAAAATGTACCGCTCGAAATGGACACAATGTTGTACTTTCTATACAGCTCCTATAATGTATACGGACCGAATCCTCGCATGGCTAAACAAAAGTACATAGTTTCCCCAACTATCCTGGACTTACCGAGAACTTGTATTTTCGTGAGAAATCACAGACCCAGTAGACACGCAATTTACATGCCCGGACAGGAAATTTATTATTGCACTGTTAGTGTCAAGTCATGCAACCTAGACGAGATAAGCAGAACGGACTTCCAATTAAGGGATGAAATTTAAGCTATCTGTGCGATTCGGTGGCAGTATTTCATTACACCTCAGGGTAATCTCAGCCAATCGTGCTATTGGTGGTCATATTTTGCAGGTGCTAGAACGACTGGGGACCACAAAAACCTGGTCGCGGTTGCATTAGACAGATGGACGCGATGCACAGATTAAGACCAATGAGAAAATATAGAAAAAGAGGCTGGGTATCCTTTTGACTGGTTCCCTTAGGTGGTTCGTATATCAGGTTGGACTGTATTTCGTGTTCTCTTTTTGTTTTAGCTATTAAGTCATTCATACGAAAAGTTACGGAACGCGCATCACACGAAATTCGGTAGTGAAACCACGGAAGATAAACTAGTCTGAAGTAACAGATGCAATACTGTCAGAGGATATCAACACAAACAGATCAGGTGTGTTTGCGGCAAAGGATGGTTTGAAAGGCGATTTGACACGGTGCGCAATGCGCATCGTTGCACCCGAAGGACGATGAGTATGTTGATTGCTAATGGAGAGTGAGGCAATCGAATGAGGGCACTCGCAATATGCACTATCGACAGCACGTCGTAAAGAAATACGACAAGGACGGGATGATGATGATAGCGAGAGAACTGATTTATCGTAGACGCTAAGAATATGGGTCAAAAGCCCTATGTACCGTCGAAAGGTCGGTTGTCAGATAAACAAAAAATTAAATATTTGTGATTGTGACAGCAAAACAAACAGCAAGAGAAAGCAGAATGAAGTACCTGTGAAGAAAATCTTCAAGCAAGTTACTTGGGTGAGACGGGTTTGTTGTACAACATGGATTCTTTGGCACAAACGTTGATCCGATGAGTAGATGCAAGGAAAAAATAATATCACAGAGGAGACATTCAAATTGAAGTGCACATGCGGTGCTCATTGGTCAATAGCATACCATCTCCGAAACCAGCACGAACAAAATTCCCCTGGGACTCCACTTCTGGAGGTAGGTCTGTACAGTTGATCACGTGCCCATTATACCACACTTTCATGGGTATCAAATTTGGAGTGAGGAAGCAACGGGGGCATCTTTTGTTCCGCGTAGAACTGCACCGTAGCCAAACAATGATACTGCGCCGAGAACTTCCGTCTGACGAGAGGAAGGGATGGACACCATGCACATGTCGACCGCGGTGAATTATAACCCAACCGGGTTGATGTTCGACCTCTTTGATGGGCTTAGCAAATTCAAGAGGGTCGTCGTAGGGAGACCGATGGCAGAAATACAGACGCCCACCACCGCCGCCATTAGTAAGACGCAAACATATGTTTAATGTGATCTATAGGGGGAAAAGAGCAACCGTCAGCGAGTCATGAGTATGCGCACGCCGAAAAGCGCTGTTTGATTTCTAGTTACGAAGAAACCGACGTCATCGATCACAATATACCCGTCTAATGGTTCCATAAGTACACAGATGAAAATCCACCAACGAATTCACGAGGGTAAGAAAATAGACAAAAAGATGAGTTTCAAGCTATGTATTATTTAGCGAAACAAGCTATGCGGAAGAAAAAGTGGGATTACAGGTCATACTTCCCTCTACTCGTAACAATGAGAAAGAGTGAAGATCAAAGTAAAGATCGTTGAAATTGATGTTCCAGTTGGTCTAAAAGGGCAGCACGGAGCAAACGACTCCGATGGAAATAACGGTGCGAAAATCCTGATAAGACACTACGTTGAGTTCACTAAATGATACAAAAACATTACGTTATAAAATATGGCCTAGTATTCGCCGCGCATACAATTATAATACATTACACCAAAACAAAAAAGGAATTAAATCCGTTAAAAAGCCACCATCACATGAGAGTCAGTCGCAAAGGAAAGGAGGGTAAAAGATAGAAATTTGGTGTTGCCCACACGAAAACACTGCACAACGGGTGGGCAACACTCAATTTCTATCTACTTTGAATACGGTCCCAGTGATCGCAGTGAGTAAGGTTCATTTCAATGTGAATCACAGTCAAATACATTGAGATTGCGTGTCGCAATCCAATCACACAATGTGTAGTCCAAACTTGACCCTCCAATGAGGGTAAAAGATGTTGCGCAAAGACCAGTGAAGCACTTCGTGATTGTCTCCAAACAGTTCACAAGTGTCACATTTTTGGGTTTCGCTGGCAGTCGTAAAAGTGAAAAAAAACGCGCTTGCTTCTGCTTCGCATAGGCTCAGTTCAATTCAGTTGATCAACATGGTCTGTGGACCGAAGCGCAGTAGGTGTGGCAGCATTGACTAACAACTAAGAACAATACCAATAGAAGGTAATAATTAGATAAGGAAAATGATCAAAAAAAACAAAATCATCGGATGAAGTACGCAGAGTTCTTAAATGACAGAAGAAATGCAAAAATATCACGGAACTCGTGACTGTGACATGTACGGTAGTGTGCTTATCCACTGGAGCGTCCAATACCGGGGTCTCCAGTCACACGCATCAATCTTGCCTAGGCTAACCGGAAGTGTTTCACGCTGTTTGGCCACGTCATCAACTAGCCGCTCTAAAGGGATTCATCTAACTAGACACTGTATTGGTAAACAGTGCGTTCAGGTAGTCGGTAAGCAAGCGTTCGCAGAGCTTGAGTTTACGAGTTTACATAGTCAGAGTTCAACGAACACTGCGGTGAAGAGCCACACGGCAGTAGTGCGCAGTCGAGACTTTTGTCAGATACCTGAAACCGCACGCAGCTATCGTTCGACAGTCTCTAAGCGCTTTTAACAATTAGCGGCCGTTTACGTGATCCATAAAGTAGCAGTCAATGCTGTGGCACGGGGGGTAAATCGAAGATGTCACCTTCAAAAGTCATCTGCAGGTAGATCACGGATGGACGAGTCAATAAGCAAGAATGCACACCGCCCCATCGCCGCAGTGACGATGCTTCCTCACATAGTAGCGAAATGTATGCAACCGGTACATCAAGCTCGGTGAACCAATCAACAGGTGAACACCTTTCCACTGTCCCTATAGGTGACCGGAGTTGTGGAAAGCCAAATGAACAGCATCAGTAAGCGTGATAATGACTTCTTGACTTATGCTACTATAAGGAGTGAAACGAAAACCCAGATAAATAAACTGAGTGAGTGGTGATTCGTTGGTGTTGAGAACTGATGGTGTGTCAGCCCGGTCTTGCAATTGTATTGTGCACTTCGAAGGTGAGAAGGGTTCCGCATGTGTCAGCCTATTCAGGTGCGCTTACATAGCATTGAGGTTGCTGGTCGTCTTCATCCATAAAACCGTGAACGTGAAATGTAAGCCAACCGTAGCCGATAGTGTGATCATGAATGACTCTGCGTGGGCTAATTCTCATGTCGTCGAAATGCTGTCAAGCGACATTGACAAAATTGGAGTACATGGACGAGAAAACTGTTATGGAAACGCTGACAGATTGGTGGATGCACAGTGCCGCACGCTTCGGGACCTGTTTCACCACATTAAAACGTGAGGTTTATTCTGAATGAATGGGTCCACATATCATAGATTCTTCTAAGTATCAGACAACTAAAGTGGTGGACAGGCTCATTTCGATTGGCAGCTGCATCATTTCAGGTGGTCAGATCGATTAAGGCTCGTGTGGTTCTGCAGGCACGCATCAACCTTGCAATGCGACCACTATCAGTGCATGTGTCAGAGATACGAAGATACGGGGAGAATGATCATCTATGGCCACTGGTGTAGGTGAAGTACTGCTTATGACTGATGGGGCAGTTAGTGGATATTTGGAGGTAACGCTAGAGAAATGATCTGGGTCGTCTACCGAATATTAACTGCTCACACTGGCTAAGTCGAATTTTTTGCATGAGGTCAATGAAATTGTTCTGAAGTCCTATGAAGGGCAATCGATGACATCAGGAAAATGGATTAGAAAGTTAACGGAAAGCCAGGGTTGGGTTGGTTTGCAACGACATGGTGAACCCCATCCGCAGCCAGGCAAGTTAAAGGCCATTTTCGACATGTCGCGCCCGAGAGGTTAGCGGCACTTGTACAATCGGTTCGTTGCTTCTAGCAAGTGGATCCACCGTGCCGAATAGAAGTGAATAAGAGCAGATCAATTCGATAACCCTTTTTATCACAAATTCGTAATGATTAAAGAAACCTGAGTCAAAGCGGAACCAATTCACACAGATTTGGGTTAAGGGCTAATAGAAAGATTTCTGACTGGAACCTACAATGCTAAATGTCAGCCCATAACTTCCAAAAACGAAGTACGCTACTGCACTAATATTAAGTGTCTAAAAGAAATACAAAAGACAACAGCGCAGTGCACTACCCGTAAACCAGACGGACGTGAAAAGAGCAAGGGCCGCAGCAATCGACATTTGAAGGATGCGCGTCAGGACATAAGATTTTTCGGTGGGGCAGCGGTAGGTATAAAACCCGAAAAGGCCAGGGGGATTCCATCACCCGAATCATTCGAGGCAGGAGCGGTGTGATAGGCAAAGGTATTTGCGCTAAAAACAGTCAACACGATAGGCAGCTGAGGAAAGAGTGAGATGACAATGCATAAAGGTTGCTGCTTGATGTGGTGACTACGACCATAACCATAGGGGTCCACACCTGGATTTATATATATATATATATATATATATATATATATATATATATATATATATATATATATATATATATATAGTCGGCGCTTTCGGATTTGCCTGTCGCTGTGGCCAGCCACAGGACGCCTGCGCCTACAGAGGGACCATGCATGACTAGCGCTGCAGTACCCACAGCTCCATCCACACACCCCATATCCAGTGTAAACCAGAAGGAATAAGACCGGGAGGCATGTGGATGGGAGCCACGTTTCATCAACCGGGCCGGGCCACACTCCTTCACAGACAAACACAAACACGCTGTATTTGGAGAATCAAGTGCACAAAAGGCGGTAGCTGGACCATAGTACGCTCCACACTGAGCGCATGGAATCACACTTTGATCCTAACACGGCCACAAGGACCGTGCAGCCGCCCCTCTAGCAACGACCAACTGTTTCCTACAGCCAGTATGGACGAGGAAGTGGGTAAAAGACAGGCAGGCACCTTGTCAACATGCACATCAAGCGCAGCCACACAAGGGATATCAAGCACCAGTCAATTACTTGAAGCGACAAGATGAAATAAAATAAACCGGATAATACAAAGAGATACGGAGACATAACTTTTCAATAAATGAGCGTACAAAAAATGATTACGAACAAATCCGCGAAAAGTTCAAGAGGTCAGAAAACATATTTTTTAAAATGCCACAAACGCGAAACTTTTATCGAAATTAACTACAATTAGCTTCAGTAACGTGTGCAAGTTTATAGAAGGTAGTACAGGTAGACAATATTACAAGAAAGAAAATCATTAAGACAAAATTGAAAACTCATAAGCTGAAATAAAGATACTCAGCATGCACGTGCGCGATTAGTAAACCGAATGCAGCGTACCTACAAACGCTGCGCCGGTTCTGTCTACCTTCACTGCATTAGCCGTCGTCGTTTCGGTGTTAGCCGCGAATGGCCCCGCTCACGGTTAACTAGGTCTGCCTGACTAAGGCACTCGCGACCGCATGTGCTACAGCATCATGCGCTCAATGCTGATGAAGTAAAACCCATCGGCGCTTCCAGTTTCCTCTCTGCATACATGAGGTCCCTCTCCCGCACTTCCGCAACTGCCTTCGTGATCAGACAGCGCCTTGCACGCCGGTCAAACGCCTTCCATTCCCATGATCTGCAATCAAGATTGAAATGTGAAAGGCTCACTTTGATCGTGTCATGGTAACGTAACTTTCGTTTCCCCATATCCCGCTTCCAAATACACAACTGACCATATAATAGTTGTTTCGTTATCTGCGTCGAATCCACACGGCTCATATGACCAAGCAAACTCAGGTGTCGCAGCAAAAGTACGTAGTCCACTGCGGCGCAACACTTCCGTATCCGCAACTCTGTCGCCCCATCCGATTTGCAGAATCTGCCGCAAACATTTTTGATGGAACCGATCGAGATATCGCACACCCCGCCTGTACATCGTCCACCTTTCACTGCCGTATAGAAGAACGGACAGTACCATGGATTTGTACACCATCAGCTTCGTGCCAATGGTAAGCTGATGGTTGTTCCACACTCGGTACTCTAGCTTCCCGAATGCCGCCGCTGCCTTCGAGACACGGATACGAAGCTCACTGTGTAGCTGCTGATCAGTCGACATAACACTTCCAAGGGAGCAGAAGCGGGAGGTGGTTGCCAATACGTCAGCACCAATGCTGATACGCAGCAATATTGAAAAGTGCACCTCTGGTG